CTGATCTTACAGGTCTTGAAGTTAGCTGTGATTATCCATTTATCCATCACAGCTATATTATAATTTAACAATAGACTAATGATAATCGAGCATGTGATGTTTTTAATTTTTTCATAAAATATTTATAGCCTTCATTTATTAATTATTATGTCTGAAAAATTGTTTTTCATATATCGTCTATTGTAGGCGTTGTTTACTTAACTATAGACCTAGATTCTAATCCAACAAGGATAATGTTTTCTTTCTAAAGCCAGCTTGATGTTTCAATACTTGGGGGGATAATATATATATAAGATCGGACTCTACCACGATTCCGTTAATAAATATTAAAAAATAAGTGAGGATAAAATTTCCACAAAATTTGTTGTTTTAGCAAATAGTTTGATGTGTATTATCACTAGCCGTAACAATATTTCAACTCATATAATGTTAAAAAATGAGTTAATTTATAATTATCTTGTCATTTTTTTTCTAAAAAAAATAGATAGACGATCCTTTTCCACTAACAGCCTTTCAAAGGAACAATATACAAAAAATATAATATTCAATTTACTGAGTGTATATTATTCGAATCACAAATATATTTGTTTTTTTGTTCTCTGTAACATATTATTTGAAATGAAACAATGTTCATTTAAGGCTCAAATAAAAAAAAAAGAAATTAATAAATACTAATTTTTTTGGCAAATTGAAAATTTTAGTAAAATTAATGCTATTTAATTTCCTATTAAAAAAGGCTAATTCTTCTTTTCGATAGAGTTTTAAAGTTTGCGAATCGAATTTTTAATATTTTGGACAGAAATTTTTATAAAATTTTAAAGTTAGACTAAAATATACGAAACCAAAATGAAGTGTCGTCAGATAATTTAATGGCGGTAGAAAGGTAAAACCCGTAATATACTCCTTTTAATATCTTATTCGTTAATTAAAAAAAATATTTATTTAATTATTGACTAACTTTGAAAACACTTTTGATTTTTTTCTATTAATAAATTCTAAATTTTGAAAGGTAATAAATAATGACAAATTTTTCTTCATATATAAAATATAAATAAATATCTTTAATTTAATTTACTTTACTTTATTTTTGTATTTATTAATGTTTCTTTGTTCCTTTTAATATAATTGCGAATTTAATGAGTCTTATTTAAAATATACTAGACATAGAATTTATTCGTGTTTGTCTTTTATCTTATTAATATTTAATATATTTTAATGAATATTATGGACTATACTACATTTTTAATGACCATTTCTTGGGCATTAAAATCAAAAATTGATTTTAATTAATATATTGTATTAGATAAGTACAAAGGAATAAAAAAAAACTTTACTAGTTTTGAGTTTCTTTTTGTATACAATTTTTTCCCCTTCCAGAATGATCATTAAAAAAATAGCTTGTCACTTATAAATGTAAACTCTTTATAACCTTTTCCAAGTCATGGTAACTTTTAAAAATAAAATATGTTGTCATTTTTAATTATAACTAGTTTACGAAGATACCCTAAGGTTTTAAAAATTATTGGGAAAAAAAAACAACTGATCTTTTGACAAAAAATGCTCTCAAACAAATAAAGGAAAGAAAAAGCAAAATATATTATTTGAAGGCAAATATTTATAAATTTCATTTACTAAATTTTTAGTATAGTTTTTTATTTATTTATCAAAAAGAATATTTTATATAATTAATATTTAATTGGTGAAAATAATATAATATCCAGCGCCAGAGAGTTTTGACGGCCCGAGGCAAAATCTAATTTGGTAGCCCCCTTTAAGTTTTTTCATAAAATTAATATAATACCGTATTTTTAATAAATGCGTGAAATTTTTTTTTAAAGATACAACCTCCACACCGCTATAAATATCTTAATAATATATTAGTGTGGGTTTCATTTTATATGATCAACTCCTTTTGGGTTTATATTTGCACTACCACGACCAAAAGAGATAAAATTCTATAATTTACCTAAGCTCTTTTAATATTCTGACAAAAACTTAATAATATGGTAAAATATAGGTTTGACTAAACTGCAAATGCCTCAAATGCCAAGGTAAACTACAAATGCTTAGATAAAAATGTTTTATATACTCTATTAATTGATATGATATTCATTTTCTTATGATAATTTAAAAAAATAAAATTAAAATATATAATTAAATAATATTCAATCTACAATTTGCCGACAAAAAAATCTAGAACCAACAACCAATCTCTTTAGTAAGCATGTTAGATTAAAAAAAATTTCCATCCTTCGGGTAAAAATTATTTAGATTGCTAATTAAGTTTTAATTACTATAAACGCAAATCTTATTGTATTTTATTTAATCTAATAATATATAGTTTAATGTAATTATTATATTCATAAAAATTACAAAAATGTATTTTTATAATATATAACCCGTAAGGTGGCGCTTATTGTTATTAAATACTTAAAATAACATCATAAGCAAATAAATTTTAGGTCAATTTAATAATTTATACCTTCTATATAATTATAATTTATATATAAGAAAAAATCTCAAAATTTAGATATATATGAAAAAAAAAGATATATTTACTTAAAATTTTTATACTGGAACCCCTGTCATATTATGTAATGGTAAAACTAAAATAATACCGATCTTTGTTATTATACTAAAAAAAATATTTTTAAAGTTCTATTAAATTTTTAAATATTGAAATAAATAGCCATTATGAAATAAGAAATTAGAAAAAAAAACCATATATATATTGTTTACTTTAATTAATCTTAAAAACATCCAATATTCTACTAATAAAATAAATGCCTTTAATATACTGAATGCCAAAATAATTGTTTCCTAAATTAAATTTACATCAAAATATAAGCTGAATAATATGAAAAAGGGGGAGGCACGTTTACTATCGAGAATACATAGGTATAGCAAGGGGAAAGGGAGTAATAATCCTATTCCCTCGAGGGAAAATTGTTTATGTAAATAATATTATGTTGCTAATGTCTTGATTATATATTCATGTCTTATTTTAATCTACATATTCTTGTTTTAAAAAAAATTACCCCATACTCTCTCCCCAGGAGAATTTTTGTTTTATAAACTTATAAAAAGGAGAAGACACTTAATATTATTTTAAATAAAAATCAATTTTTAGGTTGAACCTAGAAAAAGAAATATTAATTTTTCCTTTTAATTTTTTTTTATAAATATTTCTATTTAAGAATAACACCAAAATCCTCTATTTTCTTGTATTTTTTTTCGCTTTTCGTTGAGATAATATCATACTTTTACAAAGTACATTGCAAAAAAATTTGATGACTTGAAACCTATTTCTATAATAAACATTCGAATTGAACTCGTATTTTGGGAAAAAGCCCCCCCCCTCCCCTAACAGAGAGTACAACCCTGAAAAAAATATTTCTATCGAATGAATATATTATTATTTTGTGTGTTAAAATATTTTTTTGCGGTATTTAGGAAGTAAATTATTCGCCATGATAAATCTAATATTTTGTGATTAATTATGTTTTGATTTTAAATCTACTAATAAAGGCGTGACCATTGCCACAATCTAACTCGGATATTTAGGTTTGGGTTAACTGTAAATAGATTAGATCCAGAGTTTTAGACTAACTAAAAATTATATAATTAAGCCTATTAAAATTATAATCATTTCAAAGTTAATAAAAAAAAAATTCCAATATTTAACCTAAATTTTAATTGTTTTAAAATTTAAAAAAAAATCGGGTTGATTTTTTTAAATGAAAATTCATTCTATATAATTTAATCAAAGTCCCTTAAGGTCGGTCCCTTCTGCTTAATGTTAAACGACTCGATTTTAACAATTTTTAAATTAAGATTTTATTCAAAATATTATTATATAAGCCTCGAAATTTGGCTAGATGTCCAAACCTTTCAGAATATTTGGGGAGAATCTCAGCTGGGATAATTTACTTTTTGCTAAAATCTGAGTTATTCGTATATAAAAATTGGCTAGATTAAACCGTTTAATAACATTTATCCTGCTTAGATCATGTTATCAAAATGTTTAAAAACTTAAAAAAGATATTAACTTTATATCTATTCTTAATTTATAAATTAAAATAAATTTGTAAAATATTTTATATATTTTTAAAAAATTTAACATCAAAATAAATTGTTTATATTAAATTTTTTAAATTATAATAAGCATAATATTGATTTTTATATCAAACTATAATATTTAATTTTTTTTAGTTATAAATGCCAGGATATAAGATTCTTTGTATTATTATCTAATTTTTATGGAATAGACTAATATATTGGTAAATGGGATAGGTTGTGCTATTTGCATAATGTGAGCTTAAGTAAAATGTAACTACTTCGGTCCACATCAGACCTCCTTACTACAAATTAATAATCAACATTTTAAGTTTAAATTGAACATATTTTCATAAAATTTAATATTTACAAATAACTAAGTATAAAAAGTTTACATTGATTTTTGAATACTTCCCCTCGAATTTGCTCTAACTAGGAATGCAGAGTAATAGAAAGCCTTCTTAATTTTTTAAAAATAAGCAGGTATTGTTGGGTTTGGAATATAACTATTAAAGATAAAGATAATTCCTTTGTGAAATTTTGAAAATTTATTTGATGTGTAATATAAGAAAAATGAGTGAATCATATATTTGCTCAAAAATATTTAACACCCTTTTTTTAACTCTAATTTTATATTAAAAATGGCGTTCCCTCAAATTTACGTCAAATCCTTAGTTTCTTTCATCAAATAAATGACCTTACCTTAATTTATCTAAAAATTGATATTTACATTGTTGATTCTAAACTTAGATTTAATATTTTATTATTAGAAATAACAGGTCATTTTATCATTATAAAGGATTAGCAAATTTATATTTTGCTTCTCAAATCATCCATAAGGAGTACTTAGCGGGTTTTTTGGTCATAGAGGAGCTATAATTTTGTGTATAGTTTTTCAATATATTTCGATGGATTAATTAATATAAATTTATTAAACACAATAGTACCGCAGATTGTCAACGTTAAAATAAACACCGCCTGAAAAGTAAAAAAATTATTGAGTAATTTTTTTTTTAATATTTTCAATTTTGACAATAATAACCAAGGCAATTTCCCAAGCTGAATTCTCCAAAAAGAACAAATGTAGAGAAACCTACCGCAACGAAGGACATTATATCACTCTAAATGTTTTGACTTGTGTGATGATCTTCATTTTATCTTTAATCATGATTTTCTTTTTCTTTTTATCCCTATTGTCTTATTTCAATATTATTTACAGGTTTAAATTTAATTTTAAATTGTATAGAAAATGTCGAAATATCAAAAATAAGAATTTTCTCATAATATAACTAGCGGCTCTATTAAGACCACGGCATCCGGAAGCGTTTCAACCAGTAACACGCCTTTTAGGAGCCTTACACATATAAAGATTTATCTTTTATAATCGGGAAATGTTTGCTTTAAGATTTGGAGTGTCATTAAAAGCTTTTCGCCCATTAGTAGAATATATTGAATTAGTAATTTCAATCTTGTACAGTCATTTTAGATATCATATCATTTATAATGATTATTATTTACTAGTTAGGCATTCAAAAACTAATGGACTATTAAACCGTTTCATAATCCTGGTTTTAATTATAAATATATTTTAAAAAATCAATTCCTACGAGATTTAAACTTTCAATATAATATTACTCTCCATTTCTTCACTTCTTATTAATAAAAATTATTTTTTAGAAATTTATATCACATTATTTATTTTTTTTGAAAAATTTTGCTTCAAATAAAAACATCAAATTTTTTTTCTAATAAATTACAAATTAAATTTTAATTAATGGATTTTCTTCAGAATTTTTTTTTGTTTTTTTCCTTGGCACTCAAGCTAAAAAAAATTAGATACCGACCAACGATCATTAAAACTAAACAGCAATATATTATTTTATTTTTTAAATTTATTAGATTTAAAAGTTAATATTTTTTTGTTAAGATATATATATAGTTTGAAACTTATATTATTATTTTTCAGTGTGTCTTCTAAAGAATATATAATTTTTTTTGTCCGCAAGAAATTATCTTTGTTATATATTTAGCCAAAAAATAAAAATTAACAAATAAATCATTTTTCTTATTCTAAATTGACTTTATTTAAGGAAACTAAACCAATTATACCAAAATTTTATAGAGAGAGAATCGAAAATTCTTTTAACCAACGGTTCTGAAAAAATATTTGATGTAAAAATTAAAATACTTTTTAAATAATTTAAATTTTAAAAATAATTTTGTGGAGTTGTGGCAGAATATTATTTTTCTTATTTTTTTTAGTTAGTCAAATTAGGGATCAATGTTTATTTTCATACCTTTTTTTGAATTATTTTTTACTTTAATTTACTTTATTTCACCAATTTTGATATTCACTATCGAAAATTTGATTCTCTCTCAGGATATATTTTTTATTATTAATAAAATCAAAGTGAAACCGTAACTTTCCGTTATAATTAGCACAAACCCTTAATAATTTTCATAATCACTTTTACGGATTAAATATTATATGAAAACCTTATATGTTCAAAGACCATAATGCTAATGTCTAATCATCCATATATATAATATAAAAATTAAATTTTATCATTTAGATAAACATTTTTAAAAAATTTAATTCTTAATAATATGGCTTTTTAGGCCTTCTTTTTTGTATTATTAATTTCGGCAATTGTTATATGATAATATTTTATAAGTTTAAAAAAATTTTCTTGATCATTTGATTTTCCGGTGCGAAATGCTAAAAGAAATTAACGAATCAGTTTCGTACTTCTATATTAAGTCAGGAATCAAGCTATTTTATAATCCCGATTCCCAAATAAATATTATCAATAGTTTTTTCTCAGTTAAGATAAAATAACTATTAAATAATTTACATTTTTCCTGTATAAATATCATGCATTCTGATATTAGCATCTTCACTCTTATCATTTATTTTATTTTTAAAGTTTTTTTATAATCATATTTATCAAATTATCTACAAGAATTTTTGTATTTTTAAAACTGAAGAAGTTTCTATTAATAAATTTCTGACTTTGTTATATAATACATTAATTTTAAATAATTTAATTTATAAAAATTAATAATCTTCTAATGTTAATTCAAAAATAAATAGAAACATTAAAAGAGGATATTCATTATATATGACATTAATTTATAAGGAATGTATATTACATGACATTCTAAAAACACTTCAAAAATCGATTTTTGGATCTTCTCATGCTAAAACTATGTATAACATGTTTAATTATATAGCAACTTTAGTAATTATGTCATCAATCTACAATATAATCATGATAATTAATACTCAGTTTTTTAAGATCATGAAAGGTAAATGATAGAAATACTATAATCAATAAAAAAATAATCTCATGCCCATACGAATCAAATCGTTCCAAAAATTTTTTATTTGTTAAAAGATTTCACATTAGGTTTAAATAGTTTTTACTTTTTTTTATTCACATTTTATACAATTATTCGTTTTTCTTTTAAAATAATTATATTTTATTATTATTATATTCTTTTAAATTTATGCTTTTTATTTTAATATAGTTATTAATACAATAAGTTTTAATTAAATTGCTAATTTTTTTATTATTAAGGATTTTATATTATTGTCAATTTTCAATATTCTCTTTCTTAATGTAATAACAGTGGCGTAGACAGCCCCACGCACTTCCATTGAAATAGTGTAGGCGGCGGATTTCTAGACGATAATTTTCTTTCATTAATTATTGATAAAACCCTCTCCTTAATTTAAAAATTACGCTAAAAAAATTTTAAATCCACGAATAAACATTATAATAAAATTTTGATATATGTTATAAATAATTATTTTTAAAAAAGGGGACGCTTCCAGATGCTATAATTCGTATAGGATGGTATTTCACTTTTTCTATTTTCAATTGTGAAAATAGTATTAGTATTATTTTACTAAACAATCGTTCCTCTTTAGAGTCTGGATAAAAAATAACTATCATAATTGTTTTCAATTTCATCATAACCAATCCATCTTAATTTTTTATCACATCATCCAAAGATGCCCCCAAGTCTATCTGATATTTGATTATTTTTTATATTACCAGTACTAAATTACAAGAGTATCAAAGAAAAGCATATGACATTAAATCACATATTTTTAAAATACGATAAAAAGTTAATTTTTTTATATTTGATGATATAGTAAATTTTTTTATTATAATTACTTTAGTAATCTAGATTCTTCCTTCTATCTTGAGTCTTGTTACGAATTTTAGTAATTTTCGTATTTTTCTACTAATTTTTTACTTATAATGTTCACCAATCGAAATAAGAATTAAAATAAAGAGTATACTACTTAAGCATTACATATTAACCCCTTTAGAATTAGTATTCTTTAAAAAGTTTGACAAACTTCTTGCTTATGACTGCGTTTTTGAATTTCAACTTAAATTTCGATATTTATAACTCAATCTAAGACGTGCTTTGTTTATTGACTGGAAAAACTGATTGATGAATTAGCAAGTGATCAGGCATTATGTCTAGATTCAAGAGCGTCTATGCTCCTTGTCAATGTTGGAAATTTTTTCCTTGCCAAATATGCATTCTTCTTTACACTATCTACCATATACTTACTATTTATAAATTTTAGAGTTAATACTTCCAGAAGTTTGGATGTCTTCACATGAGATAGAAGTGATATGTTTTTATTTGGTCTGTAATTCATTTACTTTTTTGTGGCTTGTGCTGATTAAAGAATTAATAAATATAGCACTAAATATTAACACAAGCAAAATATTTGGAACTTCTATATTATCCGTTCTGTAGCATGAGGCTAATTTCACAATTATATTTCTTATTTTACCTATAATCCTTTAAACCATTTACCAAACAGAATAAAGCAATTAATTGTACTAATAAATCACTATTTAATTGTTTAGGTGTAAGTTTTAGAAAGTGTTTTCAAAAGCTTGAATTTAGTTTTCATTTTGTTTATAACTAGGTTTCTAGTGATTCTCAAAATTAATTGAGGAATTAATGAGTGATAGTCAGGCACTAAATATTAGCGCAAAGCAGATATTTCTTCTACATTTTCTATTCTAACATGCCCTTTTTGGCAATATATAATTGGCTTATATTTTTTATTCGTAATTAAAATAAACAATTAAGCCCTAAAAATTTTAAATATTCTGAATAGAGGCTTTTAGTCGCTTTTTTATCGTATAAACCAAAATTTTGTTACTAATAATTATTTCCTTTATGCTTCTATACTAGTTAAAACAATCATAGACACCATTAAAACCCGAAACATTGGCATAGATTTTAGAACGAGTACTATCAATTGTTTAGCCAACTTTAACGGAGATGATATAAAGATATATATTTTAGAAAGCAAAAATAAAAAACACCACGAGAAAATCAATAATATTTAGAATTTTTCATAGGAGCGACCCGGCCGATAATCAAGCAAATGAGGATCTAAGGGTCAAGCTCCCTTCCCAAAAAAATTCCTAACCACATCCTCTTGAATAAATAATGGATACACCACTATAAAATAATCATTGTAAATATTTATACTCCCTTTTTATATGTCTAAAAATTTCAAAATTTGTTAATTTTTACTCCAATGCCATATCCACTAGTAGATATTTAGCCTCTAAAACCTTCCTTTTTTAATTTTTTAACTTTGGCCATAAAATACGAACATATACATTGGAGACCAGATAACTCCTTTTCTTAAGACAAAAAATACAAATTAAAATATTTAAATATAATTAAGCCATTTTAGGAACTCAGATATGTTTTTCATAATCGTGTACCCCCCTCCCCCCTTATTATTATTTTGTATCTTATATCGTATTTTTTTATAGTATATAAGTATAGTTTATCATTATTTATCCTGGGTATTGCTAAAAAAGGAAATCTTTATATAACATATTGGGTGAAAAAATTTAAATCTTTAAAACTCTAAAACGCATAATTTTTTTTAGTGAAATTTTGTATTTTATTAAAGAGTATATGGAACTTAATATGTTTGAAAATTTTTGGAAATCCAAGTCATTTTTTAGAAAATTGAGATTAGATGCTAAAATTTAAAAAATAATAACTCAAGATCTTCAAAAAATAAATTCCGCAAAATGGCTTCAACTATTAAAAAAAAATTGAACTCTGTTTATAACAAAATTTATAAAAAATTTGGAAAATCTATAAATAAAAATAAATTTTTGTAAATATTAATTTAATTGAAATTATAAGATTGCTGCTTATTTTCTCCACATTTCATACCAAATGGCTCTTGAAATTGTTTATGTTATAAAAAAATTCAAATTGTTACCATTTATTAATAAAAATCATCCCATACATGCATTTGATTCCAATGCAATTTAAATAATAAAAATTACTAAGGTTTTTATATTTTCGCAGAATCGTGATTCGATGCGGCAATTTAAATTTCTAAATATGGGATAAAAATAAATAAAATTTATGATACTTTTTGTGAAAATAAACACACTTTAAATTAAAAGGGAATTATAAAAACTATATAAAAAAAATATACGTATAAATAATTATAATATTTTTAACAACCTCTTTTTTTTATATATTATAACATTTATTTATCACATGTCTTTTTCATATAGAATTTATTTTGACAAAAAAAAACCAATAAAAATAATTATATATAAATATATATCTATTTTTTGATCATTCTTTTTTTTTTATTCTTCAAAAATTAATATCTTATAAATATATAAGTGATTTCGCCTTTGTCCTAAAAAAAATCGAAAATGATATTCATTATTAATACGAGAAAATGAAAAATAGCATATTGTACGGGCTCCCAGATGACAACGATTCTAAAATTGAGAATATCGTTGGCAATGATTTTCAACGGTCTACTCAATATTATTTCGAAAATTTTAATTCTAAACCGCTTTTCTTAGCGCTGCCCTTATTCGGCTATATATCCCCAGTGCTAATTTTGATCATATTAGTCACCAATACCCTGATCGTGCTTATATTATTGCGTAAAAACATGATTTCCCCGACAAACATGTTGTTAGCTGCGATGGCCTTAGCCGATATGCTAACAGCGCTAAGCCCACTTCCCTGGTTTCTTTATTATTACGCTGCCGGTAACTTTAAACATCCCGTCGGGTTGACTTGGTGCAAGATCTACGATTTTTCTAATTTATACCTACCTACCATTTTTCACACCATTTCTGTTTGGCTCGTGCTCGCTTTGGCAGTCCACAGGTACATTTGCGTATGTCGTAACATGATAGGTTTACAAGAGTTGAAAAAAGATGGAATAAAGTTGGCACCTGGTAAAGAAAACTTTAATGATTCAAGTAATGAAAAACTTCCAATCGATACAAAATCGATCAAAAATAGCAATGCGGTCCATATAGGTGGGACTCTGTCGAATCTTAACGGAGAAGATCATGCTCATATCAAAAATAGGGAAGATTTAAAATCGATTAATGTTATATCCCAGAAAAGTGGTTCAATACATAATCGATACACAGATCTTGCGTATTCGAGAAAGAGTAGTGAGCTACCTGGCATCACAATAATGGTTAGCGAAACTAATACCTCTTTAACACAAGATAACGTTAATATGACTAAATATTTTTCTCGTATCCACGATCAATACATAAGAATAAAGGAGACTCTGCTCAGTATAATGATAGTCAAAAAAGACTTGTATTACACTTCAAACAGGGATAGAATAAAATGCTTCTTCAATTACGATAGACCTCATTATTATTCCTCAGTAACTAGATATTACTGGCGTTCGTTAAGTAAAATATGTTACATTATAGTCGGTATAACCCTCTTAGCCGTTTTTTACAATATACCTCGATTTTTGGAACGCGAATACCTGGCCGTGAATGTGAATTGGAAATTAATAAAACGTTTATCCACGTTTCTGAAATTTTATAACGGATCTCTGCAAACCCTCTTCAACGAGAGCCACTTTACTAACGTATCTTACAAATATTTCAGACTACAAAAAGTTAACTACACTCACGACGATTTGGTAATTGAACCAATCGGTCACGATAATGGTAAATTCCCTGAAAATATTACGTTGTTACCTCTCATCATGACAAATAATAAGTTTTACAATGATTTTAATATAGTAATTCCCAGCCATAATATTTTGAAGGTTCATACAAGTGGTTACATGATAGGTTACATCGATGAGGTTGGAATAAACCCATTAATTAATTCTCTTCATGCGAATTCTATAATAACCTTAAATAAATCTATGCACGTTTACAAATCTATAAAAAATAAATACGATACGCACTGTGCTTATAGATACTCTAATTGGCTGGTTGGCTGGAAAGTTTTATATTTCAATTTTTATTTCTGGTTTAGAGTCTTATTCGTTCACCTGGTACCGTGCACTGTCATGGTAGTTTTAAACGCCGTTTTAATCTTGACACTCAAAAGGACTCGGTATACTTTAACGAATAGCCAGAAGAAACAACATTACATGCTTCTCAAAAGCTTGAAAAAGAAAAAATCCCGATTCAAAATATTTGATCTCACTCGTAAGGTTAAATTTAAAAATGAGGTCAAAACAAATTACAAGGAATTTGACGAAAATGACCAGGTATTAAATAACATGCAAACTAAAACGACTTATCTGAATACAGCCTTGATGCCTTCAGAGGTTAGATCTAATATGAAAGGTAATAGAAATATACAAATAATTTCGAAGAAACCCCTTGATTACAGTAGTAAAATGACTGCTGGGGATTCGACGTTTGAAAACGAAGATGATCAGGTTTCCGCCATCATCAAACATGATGAAAATTCCAAATATAATCCTAAAAAGGATGAAGACATAATTGACTCATCTGATTATATCGCTAATCTAGGCTCAGCATTACCTGAGAAAAACTTAAATCTTATAGCTATTTTAAGGGATAAGGGCTCCATTGCTGAAAGCAAATTTGATCCCTCCACAAAAACAGCCATCACTAGTGTAAACTCTTTCTTTGACACCGCGCGTGAAAAATCTGTTGACGCTTATGGTTCTATAAATTATATCAACAATATGAAGGCATGGCGCAAGATGAAACAAACCAAGCAAACCACTTCCATGCTTATTGTCGTTGTGTCATTAGCCTTGGTGGTCGAAATTCCGGTCGGAATATTGTTTATTTTCCATATCTTATCCCAGACATTCAATCTGAAATTTATCGATTATAACGCTATTCAAGTGATAAGTTGCATAACTGATTTCTCTATATTGGCTAGTTATCCTTTTAATTTTGTCGTGTATTGTTTAATGAGTCATAATTTCCGGGAAAATTTCAAACTACTTTTTAATAAGTTCAAAAACCGCGTCGGCGTATATATCTCGTCAATTTTTTCAACTCAACGTTTTAGAGTCTGTTCTAAATCTTAACTTGACAAATGGAAAATAACTCTTCCGTAACAAATATAATTATTTTATTTAATAAACAATATTATGTGTTAATGACACACATTATAAATTATATATAGACATAAAAAAAAATTTATATATGATTTTAAAGAACTTCTAAATTATATTTTCGTTTCATCTTTCAGTTAAGAATATTAATTTAAAGTTTCTAATATAAAAGAAGTTTGAATTCATTTTAGTTAATATAAAAGAGTTTTATTTATATAGCATTTTCTTATAAAAATGTTTCTAACTTTCTATTCATCCTTCTTATTTATAAAATAAATAGTATTATAAAAATGTTAATAAATTACTTCAATGTAAAATTTATTTGATTTGACAGAATTCATAATATAACATCTGTAATACTTAATTTTATATAGTGCTAAATATTTTAAATTAACGCTAAAAAAAATTTTAAAAAATATATATTACATCTAAATTTTTAAAATCCTATAATTAAATAATGTTCATCCTAAAAAATCTATTATAAATTTTAAGTTTATATGACTTGAAAGAAATGGATTAATTAAATTAAAAATTAAAACAGCAGCTACGTTTTTATATTTAACTAAGAAGGCCAAATTTAAAAATCATAAACTTAAAGTTATGCTCTTGTCATTTCTTATTATCATACCATAATGAATAGTCTATAAAGTGGTTTTTAAAATGTCCATTTTTGAAAAGTCATTTTTAATAGTATTATGGATGGTAGAAAATCTATAGAGGTTCCCTTTTAAGTTTCATTATTTAAAAAAAAATAATGTCGTTAATTTTTAAAGACCCCCCCCCCTCAAAAAAAGGCCTACTGACCATATATAAAAACAAAATTTTTAATTTTAAAAATAGGCGTACATAAAGAAGTCTAAATATTTGCTAATAAATTAGGATGAATTATTATAATTTTGCATTTAATTTTTCATTAGTCTTTCTTTGCGCGACTGAATTAAGTGCGTAAATCTATAATTTGAAAAATAAAGCTATCTATGCATAGAATTCCCCACTATTGAAATTGATAGTAAAATTAAAAGGTTTACATTTATCAAAAAAATGTACTTAAAATTAACAGTAATAAATTTTAAAAAAAATTTAATATTTGATTATTTTAAATCAAATTTAAGCGACTTTTCAATGTATTTAATATCAAGTAGGCTTATAAATTTTATCAATTTTTTTGATATCGTTAACAATTAGTTCTCCTCTTTTTTAAATTATCAACAACTTATTTTAATCTCAAAATTGGATTTGAAGATACAAATTTAACGTTTATATCATATCAAATTTATATTGTATTTAATTTAATAATAATAAAAATATTTAAAAGGTTTTAAATTTGTTGAATTTTTTTAAATATTTGAATTTATACAAATTAAAAAATCAATAAAGAAATTTTTTTAAACCGATGGGATTGTTATGAAATTAAATTTTCTTCTTTTTTTAAAAATTTTATTCATAGGTTTTATGATGTTTTTGACATTTTATTGATAATTTTTTTAAAAGTTGTTAAAGAGAAAATATCCATTATAAATTTATGGAATAATCATAATATTCGCATAACACAAATGACCATAAATCAAGTCCCTTTTCAGGATCAAAGATCCTTTTTATTATTATAACTTTATAGCCTAAATATAAATATATAAAATTGTACCGGCCAAACCTATAAAAATGGCCATCATTTCTTTTTATAAAAAAAAAGGTTTATTAATAATTTTTTAATTAAGTCCATTAATATTCCACAGTTTTATTATGTACTAATACATATTTTTAAATTTATTTATTAACAGGAAATATAATCAACCTAATTGAATAGTTTCCACCTATTTCTCTCCTTATATCCCACTTCTTTGATAAATAAAAATCAATCCTTCAAATGAGAAACAATTTGGTGATTAATTTTTTAAGAATGAACGAAATGTGACTGACTGGCTTATTGATTCCTGTTTTTTGATAACAATGATTTCGCTTAAATTTATCGTGAAAAACGTCAATTTCCTCATAATTTTCACTATAACTCCTATATATATTTCATTGAATATCTCAAAAAATATCAAATTAAAAAATTCCGAATTTTATCTTTTTAATGACATCAAAATATTGCCAGACATAGTGAATCATAACATTAATCTATCTAAACATGAAACGGACAACGAACTTAGTGAAATATGCCACTATATTGTAAATTATAAATATTATAATATATCAAGGGACCGTCACTTGAGACACGAAAGATTTAAGAGGAGAAATTTTATAAAATCGTACCATAACGCGTTATTTAACTCATCATTCAGCAAAACTAAGTATCCTACATTCCTTTTATCACCATCCTTGAATAATATCATAATACGATGCCTAGCCTCGTCCGTTAAAAATTTATCATCTGGACTGTTCTTACGATCCTCTACAAATATATACACCAAGACTACTAGAATAAAACGCAATGATATTCAGCGAACATATAATAATAATAATGATGATAATGATATAAAAGATTCAAAAGGTTCCAAATATAAGCCAATCAATTTTTTGAGAACAAAGCCTTTAAAATACGCCGTGCCCTTTTTAGGTTATGCTGGCACAGCTCTCATATTTATAACGCTCATCACTAACTCTTTTATCGTAATCGTTCTCTTACACAAGCACATGCGAACGCCCACCAATACACTTTTAGCTTGCATGGCCATTTCTGATATGTTGACTGGTTTGTTTCCTCTACCTTGGATGATTCATTTTTATATTTTAAGGGGGTATAAGGAGCCTGTCAACTTAGCATGGTGCAAATACTTTTCCATGGGAGTAATGCATATACCTACCATATTTCACACCGCTTCCATATGGTTGATTACAACTTTAGCCGTTCAGAGATACTTGTATGTGTGCTATTCAGCCATAGCTCGTTCTTGGTGTACCATACCTAAAGTGTTAATGACTGTTGCTATCATATATACCATATCGGTGCTTTACAATTTGCCCCGATTTTTTGAGCAGGTCTTTACCGAAATAGATGTTGATTGGAATTATCAGTTAAGAGAGTGGGGATATTCGAATTTTATTAATGATAATTTGTCTCACATTAATCAATATATTGATTTACCATCAATTATCAATATTAATAGCAATCCGTTTAATTATACTATAAAATTACTTATGGAAGCTCAAGATATCAGAAACATTCTATCCAATTCAAAATGGGAAGAAACTATTTTAAATAATAGTAACTCTGCGCACGGGAATAATATATGGCTATCTAATAACTATAAAAATAATAACTTCCCCAAAATATTGGTTTCACATTGTGCATTTCACACATCAGGATGGTTGATACCATTAGAAAATATATTTTATAATCTTTATTATTGGTTTAGAGTAGTCTTTGTTCATGTTGTTCCTTGTACATCCCTTGTAGTTTTAAATGGATTACTAATACACGCGATGCGTAAAGCCATTGAGAGGCGGCAACGTTTGTTAGTGAAAGATATAAACAATCAAAATAAAAAAAATACAGGAACGCAAGGCGACGAAAGAAAAGTTAGAGAGACGAATTCTACCACACATATGTTGGTTTTGGTGGTAACCGTATTTTTGATAGTAGAAATACCGTTAGGTATTATTTTTGTGTTACATATCATCGAAAACACGTTTGAAATTCCGGTCATGAATTATGACGTGGCAACGGTTCTTTCGATAATGATAGATTTCTCTATTCTAGCCAGTTATCCCTTAAATTTTTTCATATATTGTCGCATGAGCAAGCAATTCCGTGATACGTTTAACCACTTTTTAACAATCACCATAAGACAGCTGATTTATTCGTGCGTTGGTTATTGTTGCGATCTAACCGATAACAGCCTCAAAAAATTATCTCATGATAATAATATAAACGGAAAGAAGAAAAAATATTTCCCTACCTATAGTAATTCCCTCGTCAAAACAGAAGATTTATCTCGTCAAGTTCCTTCTGTCAACATTAGTGCTCAAAAGATTTATTTAACTGTCTCAAAAAAAAATAACTATTTAGCTTCCTCTTCGTATATAAATAAAACACATCCCAATATTTACGACAATACTGAAGACAACATTTCACATCCTACATTGAATATAACCTACAAATTACCTATAAATTTAAATAATTTGAATAATAAACTTAATAATAATAACGATGTAACACCACCATTGCTATTTGATTATAGTGAAAACTCGTTTAATGATTTTCCGAAAGACCAAATTATTAAATATTTTTAAATTTGAAAAAAAAAATTGCTATCAAGACGATCGTAATATTAAAAATTTAGATCGTGTTAAAATTAAATGGGGAGGGGGACAATAAAAGCCAAACCTGAATAATTTACTCGTAGGCATAGCTGACTAATTAGCAATAGCATAATAAACCATTATATCCCAATTCAGGCCTATAAAACTTATTCCTTCTTATAGTATGTTATCTAAAATTATTATATAAAATAAAATTTGATTTCGATTTTGAAATATTTTTAAAACCACGACAATTGGGAAAAAAAATGTAATGAGCAACAATCCAATTATTATAATATTTTGATGTAACTATGTGATTGAATTTTTATTATATAAAATATCCTTTTACTACTGTTGTCATATTAATAAGAATCTTTTTAAATATTAAAATAGTGCACAACAAACTACAAAACTGTTTTATTTTATGTAAAAATAATATATATTTATCGCGTATATCTTTTCTTATTTTTTAAAAGAAAATTATATTATATTATTTTATATAAATCATATAAAAATATTAATTTATGCCAACAAACATACAAAAGATACAACTTATTTATACATTTATAAAAATAGATATTATATTAATCATGCTTATAATTCATTCCTTATATTATGTATGTGAAACATATTTTTCAAATACCGAATAAATCTTTAATTTCAACAATCCCACAATATAAAGGCTCTAATTTTCATTTATGTTATATTATAATATTTTTATACATAGCTTAGTTTTTTGCCTTTATTTATATTGAAAGACAAATTTGTAAGATTAATATTAGAAATAAAAATATATTTCTATGCTATCTTTTATCTATGCTATCTCTTATAACTCTTCTATTTTAAAGAATATATGTGCATAAGCATGTTAATATTTTACTTAGACTATTCTTACGATGTCAGAAATATTATACAAAAGCGCTAAACATAGTAAATTAAATGATATATGCGGGAAAAGGCTAACAAAGAGAATAATTTTGTAAATCGATTATATTATAATATTAATTGTTATATTTAAGCTAAAGAGCATCAATCATACTGCTAGGTTGATAGGAGTTATAAATAACTGAGTATTTTCAATAAATTTTATACCATTTTAAAAAATTCAATGTCTTTAATTCAAATTCAATTAAAAAAGTTCGATAAAATAAAATTTTTATTATAAATATTGAAAAATAAACAACTCACATCTATAAAAAATAATAATAAAATAAAAGAATATTCAAAATATTAAACCTAACCTTTACCATATTATTTTAAATAATTGTAGGGTTTGAGATCCAAATGATCCACCGGTATCTGAAACTACTAGAACGGGCATATATTATTTAGCTGGCTATATTTATTGGTCTTTATATTTTATCTAATGGTTGACAGAAAAAATCTGATAAAACAATCTACACAAGCATAATCCGAACCGAGGGGTATGCATTGGTTCCAGGGGACTAGGGTCATTCCCATGACTGTTAGATCTGAGGCAAGTGAGTTCTAGCGTGGGAGTAATATTTGTTGATCTTAACGCTCTATTGATGATCGAGTTAATGGTCTATTGCCTAAGCAATCTACCTTTTGAAAAGAGACAATGCAGAGGGTGGTAATCTAGGCCATTAATATAGGTGTCACCGAGGAAGCATAACGTTGGTACTAAATTCAGCCCATCGACAACATATAGCAATTCTAAGTTCTTCTTTGGTTAAGAGGTCTAAACTAGAAATAGATACGATTTCTAACTATTCATAAACTAGATAGCATAAAACTGAGGCTGGAATCATCAAATTTTAATAAACAGTCATATGTCATCATTATCTGTACCCTGGGTTTAATTTAGGTGAAAAAAATCAATGGTAATTTCCTTTGAATAGCTCTCGGGTGTAAGTATTCAAAGGAATGTCGTTTTAATGGAAAATTCCAGTTTTTTTTTGGCTTGTATAGTTTGTATATAAACTGCTTAAAGTAATTTTGCTCCGTATTCAAGTCTCCAATTGTGTGAAATTTGGCGATTTAGGATAGAAAAGGTGAAACGCTTTAGGATATCGGGAATGGAGAACTATATTGCCAAGCTTTATGGAAAGGCAGTTTACATCCAAAAAGGGGTGAGAATTTGATATTTAAATAGATACAAGAATAATTTTTAAATACCTAGACTGACGATTCATTCATTAAAATGCATTTTTAAGAGTCGTTAAAAGCAAATCAGCTGGACCCGCCATTTTGGTAACACATATAGTAATTATTCTCATGTTAAAAACTACTATTAAATTGATAACTTGCTTACTTATTATCTCGATGATCCGGTAATTCTTTAATAAAGTTTGCATCAGATATAGGAATCTCTCGTTTGAAATTTTAATAATAATTAGTGTAAGTCATTGGTTTATATACTAACTAGTAAAAATATAAAATTTTAATTCTCAACTCAGCTTACTTCATAAGATATGGCCATCTTTAGAAAGGCGGAAATTCAAAAATACACTATATTTAATTTTAAATATCTCAAAATGTAATTAAGCTAAAGACATGATTTAAATTTTATTAAATAGCTCTAGAATAGCTCTTTAATGTGACATAAAATTTATTTTATTGAAAAAAAGTCTATTATCAAAAACCGGAAATGGCTATAAAATAAAAATTGCTCTTTTTTTCTTTTAAATTTTTTTTACAGATAGACATTATACTTCTGTGCAAAATCCTAGATTGGGACGAATACAGGGCCAAAAGTTATTAGACTTTAAATATAAGTAGTATGGCTTAAATGCCATATTATACCAAATATAGAGTAATTATTTTTTTAAAAAAGTGGGCAATATGAATAATAGCATTAAAACTAAAATCCTAAAAAATCTGATTATTTTGCATTTATTAAATGTTAAAAAACTCAAAACAACATTTACTAAATTGTATTGTATTATTATAAATATAACGCATAAAACCTAGTAGAATAATTCCGAATGACGTTTCAAATAAAGTAATAGAATTTTATAATTCTGATGAAAACAGCAGACTTATGCCAGGTATGAATAATTTTATATCAATAAAAGTTAATGGAAAAAAGAACCAAGTGCAAAAGAGATTAGTTTTATGTAATATAAAAGAATTATTTACCAATTTTAAAGAAATAAACAGTAATATAAAGATAGGTTTTAGCAAGTTTGCTATCATGAGACCAAAAAACTGTATTTTAGCAGGCGGGTCTGAAACGCATACAATATCTGCACATTTTATCAAAATTTTAAGTGGTGGTAAATTAGATAAGTTAACTGCAAACCAGCATAACTTTCCATTTCCTACCATAGATTATAAACATTACATTGCACAAAGTCTATGCAATCCAGCCCAGCCTTGCTGTTACTTAAGGAAATGCCATATGTGTCCTGGCACTTTGGAACTTAAAGAAAGATTACACTTATTATTTGATAATAATGCCATAGATTATATAACATTTAAACAATGGTTGGCAGCTTACCGCAACTTTAACAAAGTCCGCCAACGAATTTGTTGAGTATTTGATTGAAAAATTAAATATTTAATTCCTCATGCATTAATTTCTTCGGAACAATCTTCATTTTTTAAGTCATTAAAATCGAATTTGAGATGGGGAATATCTAATAATATCCGATTTTGCAGAGAACTACGCTTTTGTAGTTCAAGATCACGCTCAAGGTTTCCATTGGACTAATAATCAGGCAACATTTCATCCATTTATGATTTATTACCGCGAAGGCGATATCATCAAACATTTCAGTTACTAGATTATTATATCAGATTGTCTCAAACAAAATACTTGTTCCTTTCATTTATTTCAAATAAAATTAATTATATTCTTGAAAGAAAGATTTGATAAGATTCAATAATATTTTATTTTTCTGATGGAGCTGTTACCCAGTATAAAAACAAAAAAACTTTGTAAACCTCTACAACCATTATAATGATTTTGGGATCAAGGGAGAATGACATTTTTTTGTAACTGCACATTGCAAAACTCCTTGCGATAGTTTAGGGGGAATTACTAAGAGGTTGGTGGCTAGAGCAAGCCTGCAACGTCTTCATGAAAATCATATAATAACTCCTATTGACTTATATAATTATGCGAGAATCAATATCCCGGGAATTAATTCTATATTTGTTAGCAACGTAGAATATTTAAGAATGGAAATCAATCTTGAAAATAGATTTTTAATGGCCAAACGAATTCTCGGGACACAAAAATATCATTCATTTATTCCAAGGGAAGGAAAAATGAAAGTCAAATTTTATTCTAATTCCATTAGATTATTTAATTTATGATATTATTTAATTAATATGTTTATTAGAATATTAATTTCCCATTAATTAGCTAAATAAAGTTATAAATATTTTTACAATTATTTTCTTTCTAAAATAAAATAGCTAAACTTATGTGCTAAATATGACACAATGTCTACTAGTGATCTGCATAGGGCCTAATTTTTCTAACATGGCCAGAAAGATTTATAAAAAATATTCGGCCCGATCCCAAATGAATTTACTTTTTATTTGTTTCGTAAATTACTATACATTTGGTATAATATAGTAATTAAGCCATACTATTTATATTTAAAGTCTAATAACTTTTGGCCCTGTACTCGTCCAAATCTATTTTGTACAAATATTAAGAAGTATAATGTCTATCTGTAAAAAAAAATTTAAAGAAAAAAAAAGAGCAATTTTTATTTTATAGCCATTTCCGGTTTTTGGTAATATACTTTTAATTACTTTTTGAGATATTTAAAATTAAATATAGTGTATTTTGGAATTTACGCCTTTATAAAGATGGCCATATCTCATGAAGTAAACCGATTTGAAATGTAAAATTTTACATTTTTATTTGTTAGTGGGTGGCCTAATGGGTAAGATGTAGGCTTGGAAACACGAGCATGAACAAGGACGCGGGTTCAATCCTGGTAAGAACCATAAAAACTTTCAAGTTTTTCTTCGATGACTGATGTGTAAACACATATGGTATGATGAATTTCGGAGCTTAGAGATGACACCCCGGTCACCGACAGGCCTGGACAGCCGGGTGCTAAGGATACCTGTCCAATAAACAAAATGAAGGACACAAATGAAAATATGAATATGAAAGCTAGGGCGTTCCCTCCATGCGACGCGCAGGGTGTAGACCTCCATCCTGTGAAAAATAAAGTAAAGGTCAAAGCAAAGAAGACAAGACTGGCAAGTTTGAATATTGGGACGCTTAAAGGTAAGACGAGAGAATTGGCATCAATGTTGAACAGGAGACAAGTTGATATAGCGTGTATACAAGAGACGAAATGGAAAGGACAGAAAACTTTGATAGATGGGTATAAATTGTACTATAATGGACTTGTTAGCAATAGGAACGGTGTCGGCATCATCCTCAGCCAAGACCTAACCTCTTCAGTAGTAGAAGTCAACAGGATCTCTGATAGACTAATGAAGATAAAACTCTGCATTGGTCAATCAATACTACACATCCTATCAGTATATGCTCCTCAAACGGGTTGCAAGGAAGAGAAAGATGACTTTAGA